ACGTTTGATAATTAAAATTATTCAGCTCCAAAGCAGGAACTGAGTCGGGTGCTAGGAAGGCTCTGGCCGGAAGGGGGCGCTGCTGCACTGTTTTGCAAAACTCAGAGTCAATGTTTTGCAAAACAGTGGTGCATCTACATTGCAGAATTGGACTGGTTACTCTGACACGACAAATAAATAAATTGCAGAATTAATATAGTTTAACAGCCATAGAATCGTGGGAGCTGTAGTTTTACAAGGCCTTTAGCTTTCTCTGCTAAAGAGTGCCAAACTACAGCTCCTAGGATCCCATAACACTGAGCCATAGCAGTTGAAGTGGTATCAAACTGCATTGTGTTTTATATTTACTCCGCATTAATTCATGTCCATTCCAGTTGGGGAGATGAATTTTGGGGATTGCAATTCCCAGAATCCTCAGCTAATATGTCCTTGCACTCATATATCTATATCTATACACACAATAAAAGTGTGTGTATGTAAAAGCCCTCCCTTCAAGAAAATATATATTGTTGGATTGCAAAGTCCATTATTATTATTATTATTATTATTATTATTATTATTATTTAATTTTATATAATATAATATATAAATATAATATATTTATAATAATAATATTTATTATGATATTTATTATTATTGTATTTATTATGATAAGTGAAAATGTATATGTGTGTATATAAAAGCCCTCCTTTCAATAAAATATATGTTGTTGGATTGCAAAGTCCATTATTATTATTCTTATAATATTATTATATAATTTCAGATAATATAATATACTAATATATTTATAATAATAATAATGTTTATTATGATATTTATTATTGTATTTTATTATTATTATTATTATTATTATTATTATTATTATTATTTAAACCCAGCTTAATTCTCTCCACAGTAATCAGGGTTAGAGTTGATGGGAATTAGAGTCCAAGAAATTCTTCTAAAGAGGGGGTTCCTTATTGCAAAGTCCATTATTATTATCATTATATTTATAATAATTATAATAATATTTATTATTATATTTATTTTTATATTTTTATTATTTTTATTATTATTATTATTATTATTTAAACCCAGCTTAATTCTTTCCACAGTAATCAGGGTTGGGGTTGATGGGAATTAGAGTCCAAGAAATTCATCTAAGGAGGGGGTTCCTTATTGCAAAGTCTATTATTATTATTATCATTATATTTATAATAATAATATTTATTATTATATTTATTATTATTATTATATTTATTATTTTATATTATTATTATTAATATTATTATTATTATTATTATTATTATTATTTAAACCCAGCTTAATTCTCTCCACAGTAATCAGGGTTGGAGTTGATGGAGAGTCCAAGAAATTTTTCTAAGGAGGGGGTTCCTTATGGGGGATTTCCCATTTGACAACAGGAACGCACGCATGCGCAAACTCCTTTCCGAGAAGAGGGGCTTCATTCACTAAGAATGCCTTGCTCCGCCCACCTCCCCTCTGATTGGCTGGGCGGGTAGACAGGGGCGTGGCTTAGGGAATAAAAATCTCCCTGCTGCTGAAGTTTTGGTCAGTTTGCAAAATTTAAGAAGGAAAATTGTTTCTTTGGAAGGAATTTCCAAGGCGGAGAAAAGGAACGATGGAGACCCGAGCTGAGAACCAGACAGGTCAGTAGATGGCTTATTATTATTATTATTATTATTATTA